ACAATGTCCCCTGCAACAGAAAAAAACCCTCTCATTTGGGACTGAGGTTTCTGGGACAAGAGAGATATGACTTGGCCCAGGTTGTTAGCAATGGGGAACGTTGTGCATTGTCTTTCCCCCACTTGAGAGGACAAACCATGAGTGAGATAGAGATCTCATGTCTGCATCAATCTGAACAGTGTGCTGTGTTTCTGCAGTCCCCATGACTGATTATTAGTCGTATTCCCCAACTTGCAGGCACGTGCACACACAGTGCTCAACCTGTGCAGTGCACATGCCCTTTTTATTCTTGGATAAAAAGGTCCCTTCCAAAATGATCAAAAGTGCCCCCGCGACGCGACATACCCTCCGTCCCCGCTTTACAGTACGCGCGTGACAACACAGCTGATAAGAACTCGCGCGACAACACAGCTGATAAGAACTCGCGCGACAACACCACTATTCAGTACGCGCGCAGCGACAACACCCGCTTTAGGGTTTTCCAGCTCTTTTTGATCCCCGCTTCTAGCAGCACACTGGATCTGTAGCGACAACAGACCGCAAGGGATTATGGCCAAGCCTGGGCTGATGGGAATTGTAGTTTCCGGTACCTCCCGTTCGCTTCATTCGCCTGAGCAAATTTTCTCAGAAGACCTATAGTTTTACCGAGTCATGCGACTACGGTAATATCGAAAAAAATTAATATTGCGGTATGACGGTATTTACAATACCGTTACATCCCTAATATATATATATATATATATATATATATATGAATGTTTGTGAACGTTTGTGACTATTTAATGCTAAAATACCCGCACAAACTGCTGTGATTCTGAAGTGGTGATTTGATTGATATGGCTGGATATGCCAGCTCTTAAATAGGCTTTTTCAAACGAATTGCAAGTCTTCTCATCATCGCGTGTAAAGTCTGTTAGCACTCAGACTGTATGCAATCGTGATTTCATCTCTGTTAAAGTAGACATTATTAATCTTAGCACCTTGACTTACTCAAAAACGATAAAGTGTTTAGAATTAGTTTGAAGCATGACAGATGACAATGCTAACAGATTTGGCTGCATCGGAAAGTGAAACTTATCAGAACTTTTAGCAAAGGTGAAACTTAAATTTCTTTATTATTAAACAATTATGCTATTTATTAAAATAAACAATAGAGCTCTTAAAACACTAATTTGAAAAATATATAGTGTCACATCTAATACCATAAGTTAAATTAAGCAATTTTTTAAATTATTTTAATACTGACAGTGTACTTGTGTTTTTTTTTTTTTTGTAGAATCATTTAAGTTTAATATTAAGTGTAAAATAAAATTTCCATGTGATGTACAGCTATATACGAAATAAATTAGCCATACTGTAATGACAGACACAACATGAACAAATAAGGAAAATAGTGTAAAATATGTAAATAAAAGGCAAAATTTCAGTCTTTTCATCATACACTTTAAACCTTTTAAAGCTTGACAATATTTTTTGAAAAATGGCCAAAAAGTGTCTCCTTTTTTATAATATGTCATGAGGAAAAATCGGCCATACCCTTTGTTAGTCCAAATTCATTTATATGTAGTCTTGTTATATAAAAATTAAACCATTCAAACAAGTTTACACCTATAAAAGTAATGAAAAGCAGATTTTTTTTTTCAAATGTAACTAAAAGAGTACTATGTACTTTTACTTAATATTATTATCATTTAATAAAATTTGTATTATTGCAGCAATGTAATAGTATTTTTACACAAAAATTTTATTTTTCACAAATGTTCAGTTCTCTTTTTCCATCTGCGAGAACATCAACAAATGAAAAAACCATTTCACAAACATGTTAATTATATTGTTAATATAATATTATTAATTGATTATTATATTATTATTAATGTTTTTATTTGTAAAATTCACTTTATTACGTTGCGTGTACAGCAAAATAAAAAATAACTCTTATAGTCACGGGAGATGTGTTCTTGGATAAAATAAATAAAGAACTGCTAAATGTAGCACAGTACAGACATATTTTTCAGTTGAACTGCTTTGCGTGTTTCATGGGGTCCGAGATGATGAAGAAATGCCCCTAAGCTCTTTCCGAGTTCACATTTTTGTGGTGTAGTGCTGAGGCTATGCAGCTGGCATCAATATGGGGGGCAAATATTGAGATACTGAGATGTCAAATAAAAGTTTTAATACTTAGTCTTGTATGCGTCTACTGCTTCTTCAGGAAAAGTACACTGTAATGCTGATAATAATGGCAGCAAGCTAGTAGGAGTTGTGTGAGTAAACTTCACTCCGTTAAATCCCTTTTGTAGCATGCCGAGTTCTTGATAGGAGGACGAATTTGATAGGAGTGAGGTTAAGGGGGATGAGTTTGATGGAGCCTATCTAGTAGGAACTATGTGATTAAACCTCACTTATTGGCCTTAAGAGCCACATAACAACTGATTTTAGAGGCTGTGGTATTTAGGGTCCTTGTCAGTGGGCCCATCTCCAATAGTGAAAACATTTGGTTGAATAAAGCTTGTAGCACAGCAGGTAGATCCAGAATAGTTACATTGGTACCATGACAAGGATATGGTTAAAATGGGTCAGTGTAATCTAGCGACTGACACTGGATGTGGTCTGTAGGGTCTTTGTTAGTGTGCCTGCATCCCATCTTGGAAACTTAGGGACAGCAGGGTGAGTAAAACCATTCCATACATGAGATGAGTGAAGGGGTCTGAGTGGAGGTAGTAAACTTTACTCCCTAGAACCTAAATGGTACACATTAGTGGCTGATGCTAGGTGCTGCAGTATTTAGTATATAGTTATATAGTTTGGATCAATTTATAGCAATATTCATAGCAAGCCAATTGTAACTATTGTTCACGTTGTTGCCGTAACCGAGAAGTGAGATGAATAAAGATGAGTATTATGGAAGCCAGCAAGTAGGAGCGGTGTAAGTACTCTTTACTTAGTGTCCGTTATAGGCTGCAGTTATTAGTGAGGTTAAAGGGGGCTCAGTGAAATTGATGCTAAGGCTAGTGGGAGCTGGTAGAAGTTATATGAACAATTGTCCCTTACATGGTCATAGGAGGAACACTAGTAACTAAGGCTGAGGGGAAAAAAAGCTTTTTAGGCACTGTTATTTATTCCCCTTTCCATCCTGAAAATGCCAGACCTTACCTTATCAGTGAAAGCTAAATAGAACCACCCTGTTTCCATTGGTGCCGTGACCCGGATAGGAGTGTGGTTTAGATGTGTTATTTTTAATGGAAGCCAGTTATTAGGAACTGTTAATGTAAACCTCACTCTCCTTTCACTATCTAAATTAAGGTTTTGTTAGTGTCTACGTATTAAGATGGAAATGCTGTTTTGAATGCAGCTAGGAGCAGGACAAACAGAACCAGAAGGGTTATAGTAACATAACATGTTTCAAGTGTTTTTGAATTCAGAATCTTTAAAGAAACACTGCACTTTTTTGGAAATAGGCTAATTTTACAACTCCCCTACAGTTAAACTATTGAGTTTTAACAATTTTGAATCCATTCAGCCAATCTTTGGATGTCACGGAAGCACTTTTAGCTTAGCTTGGAATTAAATCATTGAATCATTAGCATCTTGCGCAAAATAATAAAAAAGAGCTAGTTTTGTAAATTGTATTACACAGTGGTGTTACATAGTTACCTAGCTGGGGACTTTTTCAGGCACTATGTGATATTATTGCACCTGCGGTACGGCAGTTTCATGAATGTTATGACACAATAAGTGTATAATTAAAAAAATTGTATTAAGCAAGAAAATAGCAACTTTCATTTTCTGTCTTTCAGCCTAAGTACAGCATATAATTTAAATACAGTGGATTCAAGCTTTAAATAGGAAAATAATCAAATTTTAGGATTTTTTAAGAGAGATGCTAATGGTTTTAATCGAATTCAATTTATTATGCTAAGCTAAGTTAAAAGTGCTTTCGCCAGACCCAAAGATTGGCTAATAGATTCAAAAATGGTAAGACTCCATTTTTTAACTCTTGGGGAGTTGTAAAATTTGCCTATTTTCAAAAAAAGTGGAGTGTTTCTTTAAAGCATATTGCTCAAATCATACTAACACAGGCTCATTGTAAAAACGTACACCCGTATACATTTCCGAGAGCACAAATTATGTAGCCAGAGCTACGTATTGCTGCATTTCATCCTTAAAAAGAACATTACGGGGTGGTTTGACACTGCAGACTGCTTTTTGTTTCTTTTTGCGATGCCAGCTGACCGCTTACCTCCGTGTAAAAAACTTTTCTACTGTTACCAGTTTGCCCAGTAGCTCACCATGTAAGCCGGCAGACTTGAGATGCAAATAGGAGTTGACTGCAATGACGGGGTTTGAGTCTGGTCAAGAATGGTTCCAGAAAGCAGGTTAAATAAAAACAAAAGGCAAAATATAAACAAGTAAACAATAGGATGAGTAATTGGTAAGATCTGAAAACGTGGTAAAAAATGTTTGAGATTGTTTTTGAAAACACTATCGGTTGGGTTTAGGGAAGGGGGTGGACGTGGAAATTGGTCAGTCAGTCAGCCAGTAGTGGCCTTTGTTGGATTTACGCGAGAACAACAGGCCCAAATGGCACTCTCGCAAGAACTTTGAGATCTGAAAAAGCATACACAGAGGCCTCTGGTAAATTCGCAAAAACAGCAACTGCAAAAGCACATACCTCCTGGGATGTACTTCACAGAATCTCCAGAAATGTATACAGGGGTTCGTATCAATAATAAGCCTGGGTTGAAAAATACCCTAAGCTTGTTCAGTTCTCTTCTGAGTCTTCAATTTAGTGATGCAATGCTCTGTAGACTGGGTTTGTAGACCATTATTTGGGGGCTTTTTCTTTCAGCAAATATTGATAAATGTTATTTCAAATAAAAGTTTTAATTCACATCTCTACTTTAAACTATCATTCTCTTGCAGGGTGAAGAGAGTTTGTACTGTGCAGACTCTCCAGAGAATGCAGCGAAAGCAATCAAATGTCTCTTTGCTCTCCTCAACAGGTGTCCATGAACTGTGACTATGTGTTTGTGAATGGAAAAGAGACGCGTGGCTCCATGAACGCTCGGGTGATTTTCAGCTATGAGCACCTGAGTGCCCCTCTTGAGCTCACTGTCTGGGTGCCCAAACTGCCCCTTAAAGTGGAGCTCTCAGACAACAGACTGAGCTTCATCAAGGGCTGGAGGGTGCCAATTTTACCCGACCGCAGGTAAGACACACTGCTAATCTGAGCCTATGATTGTACTCGGGTTGTTGATGTTGAATTTTCACTCTCACACATGACAAAAATCAATACAATTAGTATTAGGGCTGCACAATATATAATTTCAGCAATGTGCACATGTGCAATAGTCACATCTCATGAAGTGCAATGTTGAGTTGATATATTTTGGGTTATAGTTTACTAGGAGTCACAATTTTAATGCAGTTTTTTGGTGTTTAAAGTTTACCATTTACATGTGTACTGTGTAATGCTGTGTTGACACCAGATGCAGCATGCATAAATAAGTTTGTGAGAATTGAGTTCTCTCGCTACATTCGTCAAATTCACTTAACAATAGATGCGGTTTCACGTCATGGCCGGAGCTTCTGTCTGCCTGGTGACTTCGATGCCTTAATGGCTAACATGGATTTTATTGAGAGAGTAGCTGTGATTTATGTGCTTTAGGAAGGCTGAAACAGCGTAAATTCCTTTGGCGCCATGTCCACTAGATCCTTTCTGAGGTGCACCCAGCTCTGTGAGTTCTTAAACTCCTCTAGAAACTGTACCTGGATAATGGGAGCTTTTAGCGGTGCTTCAGAATTTTCCCTCAGGACACCAACAACAGGCGCTACGTCACAATCACGCCCCTGCAAGAGCAAGCTCCTGATTGGTAAACGCGCCTTGAATGTCCACTTAAGTTTAGATTTTCCAATTCGAGCGAATCGCACACTTCAGGCGTTAAACAGCAAACACGCAAAATGCTCAATTCGCGGTGCTTCATTCACACAAATCGCGTCATTCGCACAAAATGTGCCGCAAGATGTTTATTTGCATCTTTACATTGACTTAACATGTGAATCATTCGCGCTTGATGCTTCATGCACGTCCGTTGTGAACCCAGTATAAGAATTCATGAGAGTTAAAAGTATTCAGGCACATGAAATTTTACTGTTGTAACTCAAATAAAGATGCATTTACAAGAATATGCGATGTTATTTTACATTCGTTTATTTAATTTTTGTACCTGAATACTGTAATGTAAAATCTTCCCAATAATAATCCAGAATAACAGCCATGGTCTTTCAGAGTAATAAGTCTAAATGAAGGAATTTATTCCGAATTCCGAGCTATTTAAGCTATCTGGTAAAATTGTATACTGTAGATATCGCAATATGCATCAAATATTTCCAATATCGCGCAGCCCTAATTAGTATCATCATCATTTATAATCCAGTAAACAATAGACATTTCCTTAAATTCCTGTTTGAATGGACTTTCTGTTAAAAAAAAACTTGTGTTATTACATGTTTTAGATTTTTGCTTGACTATTTTAGTGAATTTTTTTCATGCATATATTTCTAAAAACATAGAAACATAATACTTTTTGTCACTGAAAACCATGTTATCTGGTGTGACACTATACGTTAATATTAAAGTTATAAACAGATTATTAACTTATTAACATAAATATTGAATCAATTAAAGGACCATATGCAAGATTATGTGTATATCATCATATACAGTAGACCAGGGGTCACCAATCTCGGTCCAGGAGGGCCAGTGTCCCTGCAGGGTTTAGCTCCAACTTGCCTCAACACACCTGCCAGGATGTTTTAAGTATACCTAGTTGGACCTTGATTAGCTTGTTCAGGTGTGTTTGATTAGGGTTGGAGCTAAAATCTGCAGGACACCGGCCCTCCAGGAACAAGTTTGGTGACCACTGCAGTAGACACTACAAATCTTACCTATTCCTAACAAGGAAAACAACCAACAATCAATAATGCATGATTATATAGTGTCATGGTCACTCAAATGTCATTATAATGAAAGTTAATCGGGCAAAAAGAGCCTCTAACATAATAAAATGGTTGTACGTTTGAACAATACACAAGGGTTAAGTGTTGTATTACTTACTTTTTTTCTGTTACATCAAAGGACATATTTGCAGTTCAGTATTATTTTTAACTGTTAAAGAATTGATAAAGTTAGTGGCTCCTTATATTTTCTCAAACAACAGACTTCAAACTACATAAATACACTCGCCGGTCATTTTGTCACTTTATTAAGTACACCTTACTAGTAAGGTGGACCCCATTTGCCTTCAGAACTGCCTTAAACCTTCGTGGCATAGATTCACCAAGGTACTGGAACTATTCCTCAGAGATTTTGGTCCATGTTAACATGAGGGCATCATGCAGTTGCTGCAGATTAGGTGAGTGCACATCCATGATGCGAATCTCTTGTTACACCACATCCCAAAGGTGTTCTATTGGATTGAGAGCTGGTGACTATGGAGGCCATTTAAGTACAGTGAACTCACTGTCATGTTCATGAAACCAGTCTGAGATGATTTGTGCTTTATGACATACCGCAATATCCTGCTGAAACTGTACAGATGGTTGTGCGTGAAAATCCCAGTAGATCAGCAATTTCTGAAATACTCAGACCAACCGTTTGGCACCAACAACCATGCCATGCTCAAAGTCACTTAAATCACCTTTCTTCCCCATTCTGATGTTCAGTTTGAACTGAAGCAGATCATCTTGAACATGTCTACATGCCTAAATGCATTGAGTTGCTGCCATGGGATTGGCTGATTAGAAATTTGTGTTAACAAGCAGTTGGAAAGGTGTATCTAATAAAGTGGCCGGTTAGTGTATATCTATATATATTTTTTCAAAATTGCTGGTTTACACAAAAATACTTTATTTACAGCCTATTTGTCACCACATGCACTCTGACTGCTTTTTATGCGTAATGATTCCCACTTATAGTCCATGTTTGCTTTTATATTGTCGCATGTTTGTTTTGATCTTCGTAATACTTGCGAGGGCGATAAAACAGTGCTATAGTTTAATTAATGGAGTTGTTAAAAGCTTTAAAGCTGGGCCAACGAGGGCTGTGTAAGATACAAAGCGGCTACAGAGCTCGAGAGACTCGAATGTCATTCTTCATACAGCCCATTTACTGTGATTATGACAAATTGAAGCGAGGGTGTTGTCACGCCGGGCACGGCAGAATATCAGCACGCGCATTTTTCATGAGGAACCTCTCCAGAATTAATCACGATGGAAAATATTCTGGGAACTCACTAGTATGGTTATTGCTCACTTACAGAGGTCTTTCTTTTTTGATGTAAATCTCTAATTAAATTCATTCAAATGGGCCATTAAAATGGAAATATGATCTGATTCGGTTATGCTAATCCAATTTGGGAGCAAATCGTCAATCTGCATCTTGCCTTGGCGTAGGCCTGGCGGTGTGACGCATGTACCATACAACAGTAGAAAGATGTCAACCGTTTGAAATCCAGCTGTAGAGAGCTTTGACATTTAACATCGGATCACTTAAAATATTTGAACAAATTTAAAAAAGTAGCAAAAAAGTTTTAATTTTTGTATGACCAAGACCATACAACAGTAAAAACACATTTATTTGATGTTAATTGTGTGTGTTGATACTAACATATACTGTAGCTCCTAGCATGCATTTAGCTTGGTAAATTAAATCTGTTGTAAACAAAGTCTCTTTGTGCCATGTTTTTTTTTTCTGTTTTGTACAGAAATGCACACACAATACTATTGTGTCATTGCATTTGCATTTGACCTCAATTTGAGTGCCTTTGATTTTGTTTCCTCCCAGGACCCAAGATCTCTTAGGCTTTGTTCACACATGCAATCTCTGTGTGATCAGCTCAAAATCTGATTTGTTTTTCACATCCAGTCTTTATCCCAGTGTCAGCACTGTCATTTTGTTTAAGAAGCTAAGAAATCAGATCTGGGAAATGTTATCGGGTTGCCACAAGTCAAAAGACACAAATCGTCAGGCAAGGAAAGAAAAAATGTCTCTGCTCGGATCCACACTCAAAAAATGACTTTTGCTGGTTAAAATAAGTTCATGACAGGGCAGCACGGTGGTGCAGTGGGTAGTGCTCTCTCCTCACATCAAGAAGGTCGCTGGTTTGAGCCTCGGCTGGGTCAGTTGGCATTTCTGTGTGGAGTTTGCATGTTCTCCCCATGTTCGCGTGGGTTTCCTCCATATGCTTTGGATTCCCCCTCAAGTCCAAAGATAAGTGGTACAGGTGAATTGGGTAGGCTAAATTGTCCATAGTGATTGTGTGTGAATGGTTGTGTCTGGATGTTCCCAGTGATGGGTTGCAGCTGGAAGGGCATCCGCTGCGTAAATCATATGCTGGATTAGTTGACGGTTCATTCCGCTGTGGGACCCCAGATGAATTAAGTAACTAAGCCAAAAAAATGAATGAATGAATGAATGAATGAAACTCATTTAATATTAATTTGTCCTATTAGACTTTGTATGTTCTCAACTAGCACTTTCAAAAAAAAAAGCAACCCAATTTTAACAATTTCCAATTTGTAGTTTTAAGTTTGTAGTTTTAATTAACCTGCTGTTATAAGTAAAATTGACTTAATTCATTCATTTTCTTTTCGGCTTAGTTCCTTTAATCATCCAGGGTCGCCACAGTGGAATGAACCACCAACTTATCCAGTACGTTTTTACGCAGCGGATGCCCTTCCAGCGCAACCCATCACTGGGAAAGTAAAATGTACTTATTTATCCAAATAATCCACACATTATCTTCATCTACTATTATTCAGTGAGAGTGACGTGGTGGCGCAGTGGGTAGCACGTTCGCCTCACAGTAAGAAGGTCGCTGGTTCGAGCCTCGGCTGGGTCAGTTGGCGTTTCTGTGTGGAGTTTTCATGTTATTCCCGCGTTCGAGTGGGTTTCCTCCGGGTGCTCCGGTTTCCCCCACAGTCCAAAGACATGTGGTACAGGTGAATTGGGTAGGCTAAATTGTCCGTAGTGTATGAGTGCTAATAAGTGTGTATGGATGTTTCCCAGAGATGGCTGGGAAAGGTGGAAAAAAAGCTGGAAGGGTATCAGCTGCGTAAAACATATGCTGGATAAGTAGGCGATTCATTTAACTGTGGCGACCCCAGATTAATAAAGGAAGGAACTAAGCTGAAAAGAAAATGAATTAA